TGGGGTGGGGGAAGCAAGCACTGGGGCGGGGGCATCACACTGACATGAAAACCATTCAGGCCGCCCAACAAAATACCTTCGGTGGAGCGCTAGGTACTATGATCCCCCAGGGTGTCAGGCCAGTTACGTTTCTTTTTAAAGGGCATGTGAAGTTTCAAAGACTAGAAATGCTAAGAGATTCCATGTGGTGTCCCGAACTAGTTGCACATGAGATTAAACACCGGCTAGTCTTGAAAGCTACCCTGGTAACTGAGCCGTGGTCCCCGAGGAATTGACACTCTGCTGCCGAGATGACCCAGGAGGCTGACAGGCTTGGAATGAGGCTCGGGCCCACGGCTGGGAGACAATGGCTTTCTTGCAAAAGAGAAATCCCAGCCAAGGTCTGATGTGAGGGTGTCAGCCAGAGAATCGGGGGGAGTGTGGAGACCCGCTTCACTCCCATTCCAAAAAATGAATAGAAGTAGCTCCATATAGAAACGGCGAAAGACTTCTTTCTCCTCTCAATGTCCTTATTTAGCATAATTTATAGTTGGTATATAAATATACATTAGTACATAAGTATATAGTATAATATTTAGTACAATACATTTGGTATATATCTAGTACTTATTTCTAGCTGCACAGTTACATAAAATATTTAGTAAAATTTATATTTAGTATATTATCTTTATATATTTGGTTAAAATATGTATTTGGGTATAGATATATAATATACACATTTAGTGTAATATATATTTAGTGTGTATGCATGTATTTCTAGTAAACACCTGTACTAAAAAATTATTGTTGTTTATATGAAATTCAGATGTAATTGGGCACCATCTCTCTCTGTCTCTCTGTCTGTCTCTGGCAACGCTATTCAAGGAAGTTCTTTGTTTCTCCAGGCCCAGGGCCCTTGGTGAGCTGCCTGAGACTGGCAGGTGCCCAAGAGCCCCTCACCTAGATGCGCAGATTCTTTACCTAAGATTCTCCAACGAGGCCCAGTGCAGCCGCTGCAGCGGCCTTTGGGGCATGAGAGTCCCGGGCTGGCCCCCTTCCCCTGGTCTTAGGAAAAGGGCGGATTCCCTAGAAGGGCGGCTGTGCCGGTGAGGGGGGTGGGGGAGATGGGTGACGGGTTCCCCCACCCTTTCAGGATGCCCAGGCAGGAAGCAGAAGCGAGGGAGGCGACAGGCGGGGGGGGAGGCGCCGGACCCACCCATGTTCCAGGTGCCGATGAAGATGGTGATCATGTCGGGCTCCGGCTGCTCCGAGTGCTTGTTCTTCATCTGCTGCAGCAGCTGGCAGAAGCCCTCTCGCTTCTGGGGATCGAAGGGCGGACAGACTCAGAAAGGCCTCTGTGCCCCGGACGCAGCACTTTCAAAGCGCTCCGTCAGCTTCAGGAGAGCTGAGAGGAGCGCCAGTGAGCAGGGCCTTCCCGGAGGGCGACTGGGAAATGGGACCCAGTCGGAGAAAGTGGCTTCTGCCCGGCTGGTGTGGCTCAGTGGTTGAGCGTCCACCCCGTGAACCAAGAGGTCGGCGGTTCGATTCCCGGTCGGGGCACGTGCCCGGGCTGCGGGCTTGATCCCCAGTCGGGGGCGTGCAGGAGGCAGCCGATCAATGACTCTTACCTCAATGTTTCTATCTCTCTCTCTCTCTAAAATCGATTAAAAAAAACCATTAAAACAGAAAGAAAGAAAGTGGCTTCTCTGTGACCCAGTGGGGCCGAGGCAAGGACAAGACTCTAGGACAATATTTGGGAACCAGACTAAGACCCAACCGTGTCACGGGAACTGCAGCACGCATTTCAATACAGAAAAAAATGAGAAACAACCTTATGTCCAATCTTAGGAAATGACTTCGTAATGGTATTGCGGGTCATCCACATGCTAGAATACCATAGGGCTCAAAAACTGCAGTGTAGAAATGCTTTATCAACACTAATAGATGGTCAGAATATATTGTTAAGTACAAAAACCCCATTGACAAAACAGTATGAATAGCATCATTGCATTTATATAAAAAACACAAAAACCATCCCAAAACATATCGTCCAAGGTTTACTAGTGGTGTACTGGTATTTCTATTTTAAGCTTTTTGCTTATTTGTAACTTTTCCACCAATGAGGCTAGATTACTTCTGTAATGAAAGAAAATTTAAATTAAAGAAACTAATTGAGAAGAACACAGGGAGGCTGTCAGAGCCTCCTTAATAGTCTTTGTTTAGTTATCCAGGAAAGCTGCCTTTAGTTAGGAATAGCTCAAAATTCAGTGCTTCAGTTTACTGCTGTGTCTCAACCCTTCTGAGCTTGCAGCACTGGGTAGGCTTGCAGCAACGGGCAGCACTGGGTTTTGGACCTCTGCCCCATGCTCAGAACGATGCCCAGCCTGGCCTTGCATCGCCTATCTGGCCCCTACTCCCTTGTTTCTCCCAGCCCTTCCCTCTCACTCCTCCCAGTCGTCCCCACCCTCTCGGCCAGTTCTGGGCACCCCCAGACCTCCCCCAGACCTCCCACTGACCTCCCACCAGCCCAGCCCTGCCATCTCACCCATAGGGCACTCGGTGGAGGCTGTCCCTGTGAACCTGTACTTGGAGCCCTTGTCCCTCAGCCTTACTACGGTGCCAGCATGTGTTCAGCTGACACCCGATGCTCTGGGAGCCCCTTGTGTAATGCCTCATACACGATAAATACTAGAAGATAAACGCTAGGGCTGCGATGGTGGGTTCCAGCCCCTGGCTGGCATGTCAGAGGTGAGGTCAGGTCGCAGAGAACCCTGCCTCTGGCTGTACAGAGGCCCATGTGACTCCCAAAGACCCTAAGTCTTTCCATGGGCCCACATCACCCCTTACTCCAGGAGCCAGTCCTGGAACGCACCTCACTTCTGCAGAGTGGGGCTGCGTGAAATGGAGAGAGCACTGGTTGGGACTCAGATTTGAATCTGGGGTGCCCAGCGTGCTTCTGAGTGCAGCCCAGAGAAGCTAAAGGCCTCCCCACGGGGCTGGGTAGACACGGCAGGAAAGGATGCATCCTCTCGGGCAGGCCGCGTGGAGGGGGGAAGAGACGATGGGGCTGTGACTGCTTGAATCCAGCTGGGGGAACGCGCCCCCTCACCAACCTGGACTCAGCTTTCCCAGCTGGGAAATGGGTTGTGAGAACTGAGTGAGCTCACGGTACAAACTTTCCGAGGCACAGATCCAGGCTTGGGAAACATGTGTCCCTCACTCAACCCTCTCTCTCCCCTTGCCCATCTTAATCGTCTGTTGTCACTTACTTTGGAGTCAGCAAAAACGTATTCCTTCCGCAGGGTCTTCTCTTTCTCTGTTTCCACCAAAATCACCAGCTTGTTCAGAAACTTCTGAGACTTGATGAGCTGCAGGACTTAAGAGAAACGGAAGCTCACTTATTCATTCGCCCACTCCCACCCAGTACGAACAGAGTGGCCACTAAATTCTGGTTTGCATCCATTTCTTTCTTTCCTGTGATTCCAGAAAAAATATGTTTTACATGGTGACCCCCATGCACACAAATTTGCATGTATGCGTGACTACAACACAAGTTTCATGAAAAAACATTCACCTTCACTCTCTACAAAATCACTTTTCCATAATGTCCTTCTTTGTTATTTTCTATGCCCAAACTTCTTTATTAAGAACAAAAGACACTGATCAGACCTAGGGGGTGCCAGATAAAATACAGGATGCCCGGCTAAGTTTCGGTTTCAGAAAAACATTAATTTTACTGTAAGTATGTCCCAAGCATCACATGGGATATACGTCGCTAACATTTCATGTGCTGTTTATCTGAAATCCAAGCTTCACTGGGCGGCCTGTATTTTCATTTGCTAAATCCGGGACCCTTGGTTATGTTCCTAAGTGGATTCTGAGACCCTGAAGATGAAGGATACTATCTACAGACCAGAGAGACTTTGGCCTCAGGGGCTCCTGAAATGGACACAGGCTGCCGGGTGGAGGCGGGAGCTGATTTGATGGGAGCGTCCACAGCGTTTTTCAGGTGCCTCAGAGGAACCCACCGGCCACACACGGAAAGAGCCGCTGTACGGCACTGTCACCCCGCCGCCGGGGCCGAGGAGCTCAGGAGGCTCGGGTGCTCTCCTCCCGTGTTCTCCGTACTCTGCTGGGATCACCAGCGCTGTGTGGCCCCGAGGTGCCCCCTCCAGGGGACTCTCGGCAGCCTTGCTCTTCCCACTGACCTCTGGCCACACCGGCCGGCTGTCACTGGCCGGCCCCCCCACCGGGGCTGGCAACTCAAGGCTCTGTCCCCTCTGCACTGCCTTCTGCTCCTGTTATTCTGGATGTTTTCCTTCACAGCCCTCAATCAGTAGCTTAATCAGCACATTGATATACAGGGTGGGCAAAAGTAGGTTTACACTTGTGAGTATGCAAAACAGGGTTTACTTATTTCTTTATTTTTAATATATCTTTAGTGCTCGCTTCGGCAGCACATATATTTAATATATCTTTATTGATTTCAGGGAGAGGAAAGGAGAGGGAGAGAGAGACATCAATGATGAGAAAGCCATTGATTGTCTGCCTCCTGCAGTCCCCTGACTGGGGATCAAGCCTTCAACCCGGGCATGTGCCCTGACTGGGAATCCAATCGCGATCCCCTGGATCCTAGGTTGATGCTCAACCGCTGAGCCCCGCCTGGCCAGGACAGAGTATATTCTTGTGTAATTACTATTCATTAATTATTGTATTATTTTTCATATGAACAATTGTAATCCTACTTCTGCCCCACCCTGTATTTATTTGAGTGTTTATGGGCCACTCAGTGCTCCGGAATGTAAATTCCATGCAAGGAAAGGCCCTGGATCCCCAGCACCTGGCCCACAGTAAACATCTGGTGTGCGAACATCTCCCATTTTACTGATGAGTTTACTTGCTGGTGCAAAGCCTCAGGTGCTCCGAGGGGCTCCTACAGGCTAGGCTCTCTCCTAAGGAGACTTACATGCAGATTATCCACTTAATTCTCATCATAATCATTTTACAGAGGAGGAAACTGAGGCCCAGTGTGGTTAAGTTGTCCAAGGTCACACAGCTGCTAAGAGGCAGAGCTGGGATGTGAAATTTGGACAGTTTGGGACCAGAGCCCATGCACTTGAAACTGTCTCCCAGTCTCTGCTACACTTAAAGATGCTGCCTGATCCAGGCCACAGTCCTTACACACGCACGGCCCTGGCCCTGGACCAGGCCCTGGGAGGTGACTGTGCATGGGCCTTGGCCCCCAGTGGGGAGGAACCCATCACAGAGCTGCCACGTTACCCCCGGGTTTGGAGGAAGAGGCGGAATGGACTGGGAAAGCCTCGGGAAGGCAGGGGCACGTGAGGTGGGCCTAGAGCTGGGTGGAGGGTTCCACAGGCAGGATGGGGGCGGTGGGTGTCCTAGCACAGGGGTGGCATGTGCCTGGCAGGACATCAGTAAGGGCACCAGCAGATGAGAGCATTACGGGCATGAGGGTCTTACTTTTCTTGTGGCTATAGAACTTGTCCTCAGCACCGTCCTTGGACTTCTTAACGATCAGCTTCCCACACTCCACGTCCACTTTGAGCTGCAGTTTCTGGGGAAGTGCCAGAGACTCGGACTTCACCTGTGAGGGGCAGAAGGAGCAGGAGGGGGGCGGGGAGGGGAGGGGAGGGAGAGTGGGGAGAGATGTCGGTCATCTTGTCTCTGTCCAGGCTTTCACGAGGCCCTCGTCTGTGTGGCTGGACAGCCCTTGGCCAGTCCAGCCTCAGTGTCCCATACTGGGCCACCTGGATTCTATTTCCAAGCCTCCCTCGCCAGCGCCACACACCCAGGTTTCCACTGGGAGTCTCGAGAATTGCTGAAACGTGGCAAGGAACCTGGCCAGTCCGCTGTGTGCACATTAGCTGCTCTGCCAACGGGTTTGGGGGAGGAAACAGATGAACTACTGGAAAATTGTTCATTCACTGCCTAGTTTGACAGCACTCATTAATCTGATGTCATCTATTTCCAGGAAGGGTTTTATTATCAGGCTTAAGCCTTGTTTCAATTGAACATTGACGGATAAAAATTAGGAGAGAGACAATTGCCATGCTCAGAAGATAGAAATATATCCGAACCCAGAATCTTCAGGGCTAGAAAGGACTTTGGGGAGAAGGGGGGGTACATCTTGGGACATCTCGTTCTGTGTTTCTGAATGTGAGACCAGGGCTGAGATGGATGCACCAGAATCTCTGGGGATAATTAAGTAAAACAAATTTCTGGGCTGAGCCTAGGGATTCTAACCCCTCACTACGAGGGAAATGGTGGGATTTGTCTCTTTCTCCTAATCCCCTCTTAAGGGACTTTGCAGCCAGTTTGGCGGCCCCATTTGATGTCCCTCGCTACCCCGCGTTAGAAAGGACAAAGTTGAAGTCCTCTTGGGCCGAGAGGCTCTTTCCTGGGGCACCTCCCCATGAAGGAGGTCCCACAGGTTCTTTGGACACCCATCCCAACGTTGAAGCACCTCCGCAGGTGGCCCCGCTGACAGCCACTCTCAGTCGCTGTGCTCCTTGACCTTGCGCAGGTGAGCCCAAAGCCCTCCTTCCACAGGGACCAGAATGTCCCCCAGCCTCCAAACTGCAAAGCACAAGGGCACAGCCACTCACCTCAAAGGTGACTGGAGGGATGAGAGAACGCCGGTGGGGAGACTCGAGTCCCTCGTGGAGCAAGGCCTTGACCTGGGGGCGTAAACGCACAAAGCCCTTGAGGCTGGGAGGCGAGGGGAAGACAGCATCCTCTGGGGCAGAGCCCAAGGGGGCGCAGAGCCTGCACGGCTGAGCACTCCCTGGGAGAAGAGGGGATCACGGGGAAGCTGCGGGACCCCCCAAGTACCTTCTCTTCAATAGAGGACAGCAGACTTGTCAGTTGGCTGAGCTTGGTCACCATGCTGATCGGATTGGCCTCACCAGGCACCTGGGAGATGAGATGAGCAAAGAAGGGCACGTCCACTGAGCGCCGGCCACCGAGAGGTGAACTCCGAGCGCCTTCCATGCCTCATCTCAGTTCATCGCCCCAACGACCCGGAGGCACTGTTACTATCCCCCTTTGCAGGTGAAGAAGTCACCTCAGATGTATCAGGTCATTTTTTCTCCCCTACAAACCTGCTTCTTCCAGAGCTTCCCCCTCACCCACCCATTTGCTCAAACGAAACTCCTCGCTCGGCCTTGAGCGTTACCTTCCTCCTCCTACACCTACTGCATCGCTGCTCCCACTCTGCTCCCCAAACAGAGCCACCCGCTGCCCACAGCCCCAGGCTCGCTGCTTCCCCCCCGCTTGGGAAAGTTATCCCAACTCCTTGCCCTGCCCCAAGGCCGTGTGATCCAACCCCCAGCCCCAGCCCTGCTCAGCCTCACTTCCAATCCGCCCATGGCCTTGAGCGACACCTCCCGAGGAACACCCAGGGACGTGGTTCCACCTGGGAAGGCCACCCCCAGTCACTCAGGTCTCAGATCCACGGAGAGGTCTTCCCTGACCGCACTCAAGTAGCCGCCAGGCCGCCCCTATCAAATCACCCCGCTCTGTTGCCTGTCAGCCACCACGGTCATTTATTTGTCCCCTGTGTGTTCCCCCTGCTGGAAAGCAAGCTCCGTGAGAACTGGGACCGTGCGTGCTCTGTTCGGTGCTGCCGCCTTGGTGCTCGGAACAGTGCCCGGCCAGGGAAGGTGCTCAGTGCAGTTGTTCAAGGCATACGTGGGGCCCAGAGAGCTGACGTTACTTGTCGGGAGTCACACAGCTAGTAACAGCAGAGCAGGACTCGAATCCCGTTGGCCTGGCACCAAGTCCACAGTCTCAAGCATTTATCCCCAGAACAAACATTTCTAAAGCATCTATTCTGTGCCAGACGGGCTGCCAGGAGCTGGAGGCATAGGGTTAATAAGACACCCCCGGCCCCCCTGATGTAGGCTGAGAAAAGCAGACACGTGCATGGTTAACCTGAATACCAAGCAGAACAGAATGAGGGTTATCGCCAACCAGGTGACGTCTCGTGACCCCACCCCTTGCTTGACAAGTCAGCAGGCTACGCTTGCTTTTGACCTCAATTTTCCACCCAGCCACGTTAGCAGACTATTTCTACCATCAGCAGCCAACCATCACTTCCGTCACTGCCACCTGCAGCACTGCCACCAGTCCCCTCCCCACCACGGCCACTGTCACCTCCATCGCACCATCACTATCACCTCCAACCACTAGCCATCACCCGACACACTATCAGCAGCAGCATCACATCTGTCAACACTTTCTCCGACTGCGTTAGTCACTGGATGAGACAGTTCAGGATCCCCTTGCTCTAAGGGCTTGCTCACGAAAGCCTGAGAAGATAACCGGTTTCCACCCCTCATGCTCCCTCTGGGACGCTTGAAAAACTACCAGCTTGCTCCCTGGGACAGTCACCTGGCAGTTTTAGGCTGGTGACTTCCCCCCTCTCTTGCTGAATCTGGGTCTTTTGGAGCCGGTTTGGCAAAAACAAACTATAAATGAAGTTCCCGACAAACGGGGGGCAAGTTCTTGGGCCAGGAGGCGTGAGAACAACACTGGAGCTTTGTCCGTATGTCTGGCTCTTCCTCGGCGGGACGCACACGAGGACCGGATGAGTTCTCACGCTGTGGGCAGCGTATTTTAACATATTCACTCATCGAAGCTGCATGTGTATTGATTCTTATAATCCTTATTCTGCAGATGGGTAAGTTGAGTCAAAGTGGTGAGTCAGCTGGTCCAAGGTGACACAGCCGGTGTGCCCCTGAGATCTGAATGCAGACCTGGCCCAGCGGTTCTCGGCTGGTGGCAGTTTTGCCCCCAGGAGACATTTGACAAATCCGGAGACATTGGGGTTGTCACAACTGGGGAATGCTAATTGTGTCCCATGGGTAGAGGCCAGGATGTGTTAAAAAACAACAGTGCACAGGACAGTCCCCCACAATAAAGAAACGATCCAGCCCCAAATGTCACCAGCCTGGCAGTTGAGGGCAAAATTCACAGCATCCGCCCAGAAGTAGGTAAATTGGTCTGAGTGCCACCTGCGGGTCTGAACAAACTGGCGAGATACTTCACTTGGCTTTTCAGTTGACTTTTCAAAGGAGGGTGTGGGTTCCAAGATTAATGACTCTCCTTTCTCACAAAGGGCGGACCCAGGTCTTTCCCCAACCTTCGGGCCAGCATCCGTTTTAATAATGTTACATTTTGTACCCCACCGGCAGTTCTCAAATAAATTCCACACGGGGGTCCAGGGCTCCCCATCTTGCCTCGCCCACCTAAGGGCAAGGGGGGGAGGGGGACAGAGCTCTGTGGTTCTCACCCTTCACCCCACAGCATACTCTGGTGGTCCAGCAAAGTCCGGGTGGGGTAGGGTGGGGCTCCCTTCAGAGCCTTCAGGACACTGGTTACCTCGATGCCCCCTCTTT